AGGCAAAAGCTAGGGTGGTCCGATGTAAAGAACCCTGTGACTGCACCATTATCAGGATTTTTCATTTCACTGCAGGAGAAATGTTTGCATGGAAGGAACACTTCCATTCCTCCAAAGTTCATCATCTGTAATTTGCTGAGATATCATAATTAAACTGTTAACTTTAAGGAGAAAATAAAACTGTAAGACACAAACTCTGCTCTGATGCAAGAACTGCCTGTTCTTGTTGCAGTCTGAAGAGAATGGGCATGAGGTTCATTCTCTGACGGGGGTTGAGTTTTCAACAGCTTTAACAAGAGGCAATGGGCATAAACTGAAAGGAAGTTCCCTCTGAACATCAGGGAACTCTTTTACTGTGAGGGTGTCTGAGGGCTGGCACAGGCTGCCCAGAGAGGTTGTGCAGTCTCCATCTCGGAGATGTTCAAAAGCTGTCTGGACACAACCCTGGGCAACCAGCTCTCAGTGGCCCTGCCTCCACAGGAGGGTCACACCAGATGACCTCCAGAGGTCCCTTCCACTCGTAATCCTTATGTGATTTCGTGATTTTTTTGAAAGTTCTAGGAGCTATTTTGCTTGTTCCTAACCTGCATTTAGTCTCTGCTGCTTAAGCTCTAAGACCACTATTTCTTATTCATTGTACCAGGTATTCTACATCCATGAAAAGTGGATGCACCATTTGCCAACATCAGTCATTCAAGTCTCATAAGCTACCTTCTTCTCTGTCATGCCTTCAATCAGGATATTAAAACATTAGATGCTGGGAGAGGAAGGGTTCTTCCTTTTTCTTGTGCCTTTGTACTGATCAACCTACACATGCACAGCCAACTTTTTTTGCACAAAACTAAGATGACAGGGGTAGGGGGCATTCATCTTTTGTTTAATACCATATCAAAGCCTCTCTGAACCTTGTAGCATGACCCCAAAGGAAATAAAGGGCTGGGGTATCTCCTGTTTTTGACAAGGTGTCAGACTTCAACATATCTTCAAGACATTAAGATGATAGTATGGTATTTTGTGTTTACCGATATGAGCAGACCTCAAAAGCAACACGTGAAAAACAACCCCCCATCCCCATTCACATCTCCCTTCCTCCTGAGCACTGACTGTAGCAGACTTGAAATCTGCTCATTTTTCTGGGGGAAATCTCCTATAATGAGTTGATTAGCCTGCTTCATATCCTGCATGTGAGCACACAAGGTCAAAGACAGGAAGCAAAAGCAATATCTTCTGGAACAGTCAGGGAAAGTTGCACCAGATCTGAAAGTGAAAAGATGCAGAAAGCAACTGCAGATAAGCCAGCTTTGTCCAGTACTCCATCTGGCAGAGAAGCGCCTTGCAGAGAGACACAAAGATGATGCCAAGTGAAGTTTCAGCAAGATAAAAATAACAAAAGGTAAAAATTAAAATTACTAAATTATGTAGGAAGTACCATAATGTCCAGATTGCAAAATTGGGAAGTATTATGGGGAGAATAAAAGAAAAAATCCCTGCAGCTGACAGAATTAAGGACTAAGAATACAATGCCATAATTTCTGGAATAAATTAAGAACAAAAGAAATAAAACTAGATTCATTACTAATGACAGTGTTGTTGATCATGCAAGAGCATTCAATTAAGTCTTTTGCATTCAGAAATGAAATAAATTTGTGTCACATGAGGATGTTGAAATACTTTCTTGCCCATTAGCAAACCAGAAGAAAGTTAAACAAACACTGACCATGAATAAATGTTTCCAAATCAGTGGATCTAGACAATTTAAAGAAGGAAATCATTACAGAATTTCCTGAAGAATGCTGCTGTTGATAGTCCCAATAAATCTTAGCATTCCCGGGAAATCTTATAACCTCAATAACTTCAGCATTGTTCAAAATACTAAGATACTTGTAGTCAAGACTATTCCAATATATAAAATATTACAAACATTGCAACACAATTGACTGGAAAAGAATTAAAAGAAAATACTACAATCAGAAGTAATCCATATGTTTTCCAGGAAAAGAAAGCTTTTCAAACCAATCTGATATTTATTCAATACATTCTTTTGTTCCATGAAGTTCAAACTACACAATGCAGAGAAAAAACTAGAAACATCAACATTTTGCAAGATGAAACGGGCACTCTCGACAACTGAGCACTGATAGAAAAGTATTATCAAAGAGCTGATTTCAGTAATGCTATAAAGGATGTAACGTTATTAAAAGCTTTCATCAGTAATTTGGAAGTAAATACAAAGTCATGCATACAACAGTACCCGGCAAGATGATAAACAGCAACAACAGTTTTGCAGATGAATCTCCGTTACTGTGGTGAAACGGCACTAGGCTGAGCTCATTTTAACAAAGACAAATGCCCCTACATTGAGGACTGTAGATCTTATCCCAGGAACGGCAAGTAAACCAACATGAGCATTTTATATATAAATACAGAAATTACTAGGAAAATTTTACCTGCGTATTAAAATTACTAAGTCCTTAACTACACTGAAATCCTGTACACCGTCCTGGTGCCCTTATTTTAAGCAGGACTGGAAAATTGATGAAGGTAGAGAAAGAGCCACAAAACTTAAATGACACGTTTTGGTGAAGAGAGTTCATGAACTGAATTTGTCTGGCTTACCCAAATCTGAGAAGTGATTTGATTATGCCATCCAAGTATCTCCATAAGGAGAAACCGCAGGATATGAAGGAGCTCTTTAAGGAGTGGGGAGAGGCATTAGAAGAATCAATGGCTGGAACGTAATACCAGAAAAATTCAAATGAGACATGAGGCACATACTCATCACTGTGAGAATGATGAACTGGCAAAGGGAATTATTTCCCTCTTCATGTCTTTAAACCAGGACTGGACACTTCTCTGAAAGGGGATTTAGCTGGACTAGTTATGCTTTAGTCAAATTACTAGGTTCATTACAGATTAACAGGGAGAAATGTAATGGCTTGTGATATATGATGGATAAGACTAGATGGACTATCACACACTCAAAGGCTTAACTCTATTATTTGATTTATCAGTGTTTTACACTGCCATCCATCGCTACAGTATCTGAACTCTCTCATATTAAATCAATAGCAACAGGGAAATCCCTTGTGAACTTTGAGGAGCTTCTGAAACTTTTGCTTGTAGGAGTAAAACTAATTAGGGGAGGATTTTTGAGGTTTTCTAGAGGAGGGCAGAAGGCCTGTATTTATCCTTCTTGCTATAAACTATACTACTATATTTCCTTTGTGCTTAGTGTTTCAAAGCACTGAGCTAGTGTTTTCAGTGAGGCACAGTACTGCTAAATGGTTCTGTTTAAGAAACACAGTTATGTTTGCTCCTCTGACACTTGCAACCTTGCCAGGAGATATCACAACAGAACCGTCTCAGCGCTCTGCTTTCCAGCGTTGTTTATGGTAATGGGCACTCACTTTGCTGATACCAAGACAAAAATGCATGCCCAGAGAGCTGTAATTTAGATGAAAATGAAGAGTGGCAGCAGGCCCAACACACCATATAATCTCTTCCTTAAAGATTACATATTTTCAGAGACAAAATACCACTCTAAGAGGATAATGCGTCTGTTCTACAACAATTCTCACTCCTAAGCAATTGGATTTTTGTATCTAATAGTTATTATAGACTTACACTGTAGGATGCGGTGCCCTTAAAATACATGTATTTTGCAGAAAGGTATTAATTCAACCTTAGACTCTAAAAACTATAAAAATATAAAACTTTTTTTGGACACGAGTTCTTCCCCATGTACTATTTGACAAATGTACATTAACAAAGCAACTTCTAATTCTTTTAGAGACTCCTTCAGGTCTAACACACCAAAACTAGAGCAAATTTTCTAGAGGTTCCATTTTTCTTACAACAGCACACTGCTAATGCTTTATTATTCATGTTAAATCAATTTTCATTAATTACACCCTACCCTTCTGGCCAAAAAAAAGATCAGGTTAGGCAAACAGGATTACTGTAAAAATAAGACACCCATCTAGTTTTTAAGCAATATCCCACCATTGCTTGGTTTTGCTCAGTTTTATCCATTGCTTTTATGGCCCAGTGAAGAAGGTACTTTGCAAAACCATGTTCCAATGGGCCATTTGCAGCTGTTAATTTTTCCAGCCCGACCAACTTTACATCCTGTGCACTCTCCATTGCATTCTGTAACCCCTCTAAAGCTTTGTTTGGGCTTTTTGAGGTCATAAGTTGAATTTTCTGTCCATGGCACAGAAAGAGGAGTTAACTGAAGATCGCTTTTCCCTCAGCAACTGCCCAGCACCTATAGGAACAGGGCAGAGACCAATTTCCTCACTTCACTGCATACCAGGTGCCCTGGCACTTATTATTTGCTCACACTGTTCTCCAAAGCTTTGCTGAGCTTGCCTGCCTCAAGCAAGTAGAATTGCTCAGATCATCACAGTTTAATTTATGGGCTTCATCAGCCAAGCTTTCTTCGTGAAAGGACACCTCCAGTAAAAAGCCTTTATCTCTACAGAGAAGTAAGATTAAAACTTTGTAATAGTCTACACAAAGCTGAAAGAAAAACTCAGTTTGCTCCCTGAGCTACAGGCAAGAAATACACAGCACTGCTTAGGAACTACTCTGGGTTAAGAATATGCTTACATTCCCAGATGTGTGCTCACCCATTAGCACTGTGCAGACACCAGCATGCCCGCTCCAGGGTACGCTTTTGGCTGGAGATGATACAGTTAGCGCACCACAGCCAACAGTCCAGTTCTGAAAGCATGTACTTGGTGGCAGAAGCAATACTGGCTAATGGGCAAAATAGCCACCCTGACCCAGGAAGATCATCATGAAAAGAACAGATGAGGAGTGACAAACTCTTGGAAAAAACAGGCAGCAAGGAGACCAGAGGGGAGAAAGGAGTCAAGCCAGGAACAGCAACCAGGAAAGATGATCCCCATGACAGGCAGTAACCCCCAAGACATCAAGTTTACCCACAGCACTAGTGAAAAATATCAAATCAAATATAGTATACAACACACCCCGTGTAGCAAAAGAGGTTTTTATTTCTTGGGTTTAGATCTGCAATCCTGATTCGCCTTGAAGCACACTAACCATAGCATAAAAATGTAAAACAAAACAATAAAACATAGCAGAATATTTTAAGATTAAAAATCAGGAGGGCCAGTGACACATCAGAAACTGCATGAGATCATACTTCTGAAGTCCCACAATATCCAAGCAGAATGTCTCCTAGGCACCAGCTGCTCAGTGAGACAGAGTAGGTTAGCTTTAATTAAATTTAATTTCCTAGTCTTAAATCAGGAGTTAAAAACTGATTATATTGCTTCCATTTCCTTATAAGCCTAAAAAATACATGCCCTAAATACTGATTAATTCAACCACAAAGATTTGCACTTTTGGATAACTTCTACATCTACTTGTGTGTTTCAACGCAATTCATATGAATATTACAGACTGATTTAATGTGACTTGTTCTAGTAAAATGTGTTCGCAAATGACTGGCAGAACATTAAGATTCATAAGACACAGACATAACAGAAAAAAATGAACCTGTTGCACCCAGATCATAATTCTGAGAATGAGGATATGATATTAAATGACCTAGAGGAAGAACAGGAGAGAAAGCGACCTCCCAGAATATGAAGGTGTAGAAAATGTATTAGGCTTCTCTAATAAATTGTTCATCTCATTTGGTTTAATAATTTAATATGAACTAGATAAAACAGAAAAGCCATTCAGGAATAAACAAAAAGCATTTTCAGAAAGCTGTGTTCACTGCTAGAAATAAGTGAGGAAATGAAGGGCAACACAATCTAGCAGCACTTCTCTGAGTGGGGAGGAAACCACACAAGTTCCACAGTTGTACCTGTGACGTTACAGAAAGAAGTCTGAAGTGCAGAAACAATCACTAGCAAACAAGCTTCACAGTCCCTTTCTTTCCCTAGCAAAATTCTGTTTGGTTTTAGGGGGACATTCATTAAAGCAAACTCCCAGTGTTTTGCTTTGCTCTGAAAAGGCAAACAAATCTATGAATTTTGCTGTGGAAAACAGCACAGAGGGACTTTGAGTGAGAATGAATGTGTTAATGTGCCACGAGAAGCTATCAAGTTTATTCCCCTCTGGCTTTGACCCAGGGAAAGAAATCTGGCTTTTGTCCTGTTCTTTTTTAGGTGTCATGTGGAATTTGAAAGACAGCAGTGCAGGAACTAACACGGAGATCTGAATAACTGCATCTTTTTCTCTCCCTTTCAGCATGAGCAGTAGAAGACCACTAAAACCACTATCACTAAACAGCAGCAAATGGACAGTTATTGCTGGTTTCAAAGAGTTCAGGTAGGGGTCTACCAAGGCTGTACAGTGATGACTGATCGTTCCTTTCTTTGGAGTTCACAGTACACACAGAACCAGTCTTTTAGGAGATAGCCGCCCGTCCCTTCACGTAAGGGGTCGACACAGGAAAAGTCAAATGATTTGACTGAACCAAGGATGCTGACCCTTACAACTACCAAATCAGAAATTAAGACTCAAGGATAGAAGGGTATTTAAAAATTGTCAATTATTTTTCAGAAATAGGTAATTCTCTAGTTTCTGTTGTGAAAATGTCTGCAATTCCTTATCTCGCTGTTCTATCCTTAGAGCTCCAGTTGGAAACTAAAACAAGGAAATGAAATCAAGGCTAGACACCTAAAGTGGAAACAGATCAGGTCCCAGGTTTGCTCAAGTGAGGTGGCACCCAGATAAGGGATGAGCGTTTAAAATCCAAATCTAGAAGTGACAGTCGCTCTGCTTACAGGAATTTGCAGTCATATAGATCAAGCAGGCAGATGGCAGCCAAGCATCTATCATAAGAGAGGACAGGGACAATACTGATTCAGGGAAGAAACTACCAGTTGATCACTCATGGCACATAATTAATTTACTAAATGCTCAAAAATTCCTCCTGCCCAAACATCCTTAAATAACAATCTGAAGAAAATAAAGAATTCCAACCACAGTAGGACTATAGGTCCTCCTTTAATTACAGGTCTCCGCAATATCTCCCATCATTTTTATAAGCATTCGAATGAAAGAAGAGCTTAGGAATTATTGTTTAAAAGCAGTGCAGGGAAAAGGGGGAGGGGAGAAGAAAAGAGCCTTGTAGAAATTTGCCAGCAAATATACAGGAAGATGCACATTCATAAGTTTAAATGAGGACTCCAAAGAACTGAATGCAGCTGTGCATAAAGCAACTGCAAAGCTGAAGAGACACAACTGAATTTCTTCAATGCAAGAATTTCTGATTATTTAATATTCCTTTAAGGAACTTAAAATCTTAATAGGCCCACAAAGGCTTAAAAATGCAGTGGGGAACCACAAATCTTAAATTTTATGACAACCTTGGAGGACAAGCTGTTCTTACCTAGCTCTATTAAGTGGTTACAAGAGAGAGATTTTGAGAACTACTTTAAAATGAGATTTTCTCCTCACTTCCTGAAGTGGAACATTCACCATTACCTCTGCAAACATCATCTGGTTTTAAAGCTGAGCAATAATTTCTAGTAGTCTTCTAGGACTACAAAGCAACTGCATATTACTGAAGACTTGGCAGTTAAACACAGAAAGCAAGTTGTAAGGGTTTCTCTGTAGAGCTAAACTTGAATCAAACAACAGTTTCCTTTTTTTTCCAAGGGAACCTAAAGTGCATACATTTGTGTTTAATTTTTTTAAGATTTGACTTGCTGGGTTCATGCTTTGCCTGCTTTGGCAACCTGAACAAGTAACTTGGCTGTTATTTGTGCAAAACATTGTAAGAATTTTAAGTTATTCTTCTCAAATATAGAGATAAATTTAACTGGTGTCCTGGGTTCAGCTGTAACAGTTATTTTTCTCCTTTCCAGTAGCTGGTGCAGTGCTGTGTCTCAGCTTTAGTCTGAGAACAATGCTGACAGCAACAACTAAAACACTAGCATGTTAAGTCATGCTTACCCTTATCAAGGACTTTCCAGTCTCATGGTCTGCCAGTGATGAGGGGCATGGAAATTCAGGAGGAAGCAGAAACAGGACACTTGACCCAAATTAGCCAAACAGGTAGTCCATACCACAGCGTGTCATGCCCAGTATAGAAACTGGGGGGGGAGTCACCCAGAAGGCTGAGATCACTGCTTGGGTCAGAATGGGTATCGGTCGACAGGTGGTGAGCGGTTGTATTCTCTCCCCTTGTTATTTCCCTTATCATTATTATTAGTAGTATTAATTTTATATTATACTTCAGTTATTGGACTGTTCTTATCTCAACACTTGGGGTTTATGTTCTTTCAATTCCCCTCCCCATCCCGCCCACAACAGGGAGCAAAGTGGGGAGTGAGCAAGTGGCTGCATGGTTCTGAGTTTATGGCTGGGCTTAAACCACGACAGCTGAACAGAACTGAAGAGATGGAAGAAAAGATATCCAGAGATATCAGAAACATGACAGAAAATCACTTCAGGTTCCTTTTGAACAATGCAAGTTACAACATCACTTCTGAGTGTTTCTGTGCACAGAAGCGCTCAGACTGACAGCAACAGCTACATCAGATACATCTAAGCTCTGTTCCAAGATCCACAGTGATGAGAAGCACCTTCCCATTACTTCATACTTCTACTGTTTATGCTACAGCAGATTCTGCTTCCTGCTAGTGAAGAAAAAGCCATACCTTCACATTATATTTCTCTGCAATGTATTTTAGCACACAAAATTACAGAAGCTATCCCAAATCCTATCCATTCACAAAGTAGTGAAGTGGGCAGGGAAGCAATGATAATTATGGTAATCACATTAGATACCATGGGAGAGAATGTTTTAATAACTATTCATAATAGACAACTTATTTTTTTTTAAATGGAGACACAAACAGCCCACACATGCATTTAAATTATGCAGTATTCCACTTAATCAGGTAAAAAAAAAATGGAGTCAGTAAATGGATATTTCATTAAACCTGCTTGATAGTTGAAAATCTTTTAATTTGAAACAAAAAACAATCAAAGAACTTAAGACTTCTAAGAAATGGAAATTCCAGGTATGTCCATGTTTGGAGACACCTTTGTAAACCAGGCAGGAGAAACCAAAAGTCTACTGGTCTCCTACAGGTACGCTAAAAAGTAGAAGACTGATTTTACTATTCAGTTTCACCCCATTTAATCTGCCACAAATATCACCACATCCACAAACGTCAGCAAATAAGCAACAGTGTTTCATTCTTATTTTTGCTTAAAATAAAGAGAGGCTAATAATGCACATATTTATAATTCATTACACTTCCAGCTTGGCCTCTTCCCTGTTCTACTTCTAAACCTTCCAAGCAGACCCAGACCATTCCCTCCTCCCACCACTACACTGCAGTTATTTCCTCTTCACTGCTTTCTAGATGGGAAGTGTAATCTGGGAAGAGGAAAAGAAAGAAGACTGCATTCAAAGTCATCCTATTATGGAGAGGGCAGAATCAGAAGCATGGAAAGCCTGTGTGGTTGGAATATACCTAGTATGGACAGAAACATTGTACAAATCAACAAAAAAAAGTTCAGTTTTCCAAACATTTTGCCAGAAGTTTTCAATTTGACCAAATTTAGGTCAAACCCAGCAAAAGGCAACTCCAAACTGCTTTAAAGGCTGCTTAAAATCAGAATAAGGAAAAATATTTTTTTTTCTTATAAACCTCTTTTCTAACCTTTCTAAATGTAAATCAAAATCTTACCAAAACAAATTCAACTGGCATTAAAAGGTGACCTTCAGTCTGAATTTTGACAAAACTACAAATAACTGGAAAGACATTTTCATAAGGCTTGGTAACAGGCAGAGGTGCAAGTACCATAGATAAGGGTGCTTCGGTCTCATTAAGGGATAGCTGGCCTTTCATACTGTGTACAGAGACAGAACTTCAAACAAGCAAGATAAGACATCTTCAAATAGACCTCTACCATGAGACTCTGATCCCTCTTACACAGAGACAGAATAATGGTACACAGACATCAAGCACGATGAAAACATTTATCTTAATTTAACCCGAAAGTACATTTCCTGATGTTCACTTTTTCTATGAAACTTTACAATTTTGTTAGTATTAAAGAAATTTATAATAAATAAATTGGTAAAAATAGGATTTCTAAAGTTTCACAATTTTTCAGGTCCTATTTTGTTGGTTGCTTAACGTATCTACAAAGAAAGCAGTTTCTGAAACTAGATGGCAATATAGATTTCCTGTCTGTATCTAAGTTTCTACAAATGTGTGCATGTAATTTTATAAATCAGATATTAAAATGATTGGGAGTATAACTGGTTTCTATCACACTGCTCAGTATCCCAGGCTTCTCACTGTCTCTAAATGCTTTGTCAGTCAGATTTGTTCTTTAAAGGTAGGTCATCTTTCTAAATTTAAGACATAGGAACTACAGGACTAAACATTTATTCAACACAAATACTCCAGAGTTACATAATGGAAGCTACTAAGCACTTGATGTCTTTTAAGTTTTCTAAAGTGTTCATGAATTTTACTTGGGAATGGATTGTTGAGGTGAGCAGTTTACGTTTATATTAATGAAAATTATACAAAAACTATGGCATAAGACAGTATATTCTGCTACCTGTAATATGCTAAATAAACACTGCTTGAAATTAGCACAAAGTAAGAATTTTTATCCTAAGATAAGCTTCAACATTAACTCTTTTTGGTCTAATCCCCCACAAAGCCTGAAATACAAGAGGAAAGGTTGCTGCTGGTGGTCACATTCCATTTTTCCTAAAATGGCTTAACAGGATTTAAGCAGTATCTTCACATGCATACAACATACTAAAATTAAAATCAGATCTGAACATTTATGCAAAGACAAACAAAAAAAAAGGCCAAAGAAATATTTTTTAAATACAAAACACACAGGACAAATAAAAAAGAAAGCTGAAGACAAATTCATATAAAAATCAGTATTTATGTAAAAAAATAATGCACTGCATATTGTAAAATCAGTCAATAACCGTATTCACCTTCACACAGATTTCTAGATTTTCAGACTTCAAAAGGTGACATAGCAAGGAAAAGAGACCATAACTGCATGTGAGGCAGACTGCTTCCCAGGATCCATCCCAGAAATTTACACCCTGAGCCAGCAGGGAGATTAGGAGCAGAATCTAAACTCTGCTTACAATGGAGTGTATTTTGCACTGCTAAAGTATTCATCCAGCTCACATGGATCTGGGAGTCAGAACGAGCCCACCTTTGACATGGAAAGAGCCACAGAAATTCAGCTTCTAAAATGGGATTGGGATGAAGGTGCAAGTCAGTGAGTGGATCCTCCAAGTTCAACACACAGGAACTTTTCTGGAATCCAAAAAACTCACATTATGAAGACTTCATCTCAGACCAGTTATCCAAGTTCAAATATACTTTACAAATCAAATACATTTCAAACTATGCAAGTTTAAATAGTATTTCACTGTAACACTAGAACTCAGCCTTTTTCTTCATGTTTTCCTCTAAAAAAAAGAAAGTCTGTACTACATAAACAAAACAATTTTTTTTTTTCCACTAAGAGAACTTAAGAAACTAAAGAAAGCCTAATCCTTGCCTGCTGTAAATCACTATCAACCTACTGCCGGTAATGCATTCATGTAGTTGAGGGTTTTCCCCAAAACTATTTTAAAGCCATGTTATTAAAAAATATGGTAACAGGATATATCCTCTAAGAAACGCATCTAATACACAGTCTGAGGCAGCATCAGAACTCTTACTACAGCTCTTCACTTTTCGGTACTAAATACTCCATAATAATCATCAGGTAATAATTCTTAGTAAGGAAATACAAAAGCAACAGCTTTTCACTGGTGTTTTTTTTCCTACTTCCAAAATGCCTTATAAAGCTGCAAAACCATGTAATTTTTTAAAAGTATTATAAGACAAACATCTTCAACCTGATTTTTTTTGCTAAAATAAAACCAAAAAAGAACCACCAATCCTCAATTCTGCTCTATCTTTTGACCATGTTGAAACAAATGCTGTACATTAAAAAGTCTCTGCACCTACAGACAGAGAAAACTAGTATCACATACCGGTATTAATTTTTCAGAACATCGTATTTATAGTGTGCAGTTTACATCTAAGATATGCAAAACAAGATTGTCAAAACAGTACTTCAACATGTAAGAGATGAACACATAAAGGCACATACAGATTGTCAATTATTGTATCACATTTCTTTGAAAAGAGTGTTTTCTGCACTTGTAAACAATTTTGTTTACATAAAGGCTCACACCTTTAAAGTGAGGTTAGTGCTGCTGCCTCAGTTATTGCTACATTCACAGTTTAACAGAATTTCAGGCAATGAGGTACGCTCCCAAATAGAACCATCTTCATTTCTTCTTTGTTCATTTGATCATTAGATAACTGAATTATACAGACTAAAACTACTGACTGTAGAAGCCAGTAACACCTAAATCACTGTATTAACGATAAACATTAGCAGTGATTAAACTTCAAAAGAGCAAAAAGTCAGCTTTGCAGAAAAAAAGTTCCTGTTCTTCATGACAAGAATATTTTCTTCATTTTTACATACGCTAGTAAACTTTTATCTGGGCACAGTGAGAGCCAATTCAAGCCATATTAGAATTTTTGCACCTTCTGAGAAGTATGTTAATTCAGTCTCTTGATTTAACAGCTTGAAGTAAAATCACCTTCCCTTTGATCTTCTGGCATACAAGTCTCTTACACTTTTTGTCAGCTGCTTTATGAACACTTTGTATACTCTTCCACAGTATGTATGCATGGTTTTCCGTAATTCCAGTTCTAGGGGCTGCAACAGGGAATGAACCAGATCATCTCCAAATGAATACTGCAAGGAAGTTAAGGAAGGAAGATTAAAGGTCAACAGAACACAGAAGAGTATCATTATTCAGAGGGTTTTAAAGAGTTTTATAAAAATGCCTCTGAATGTTACATTTAATAAACCTTTAGAAAGCAAGTACATTTAAGAACTCATCTTCTTGAATGCAGTATTTGAAAAACAACTCTAAACCAAGAAATATTCTCTAATGCTTTTGATAACCTTAACAAGTGAGATCTTTAAATACAAGCAAATGAAGATACCCCAACAGAATAGGAGGAAATTTGAAATTATCTTATTAAATTAAAAATTAACAGATCTAAACATGATTTCTAGTAATTTCTTTGTTAAACAGTAACTTTCTTGAATAATAGATAACTTTTAAGGAATACACTTCTTATCAAATTATAATGAAATACCAGTATGAAAAATGGTACTACTGAAGTTTCATTAAACTGAATGATGGTCGAACGCATACTGTGTTTAACATGGTGATGAAATAAAGAAGTCATTAATTCAACAGTGAAATAATTTTTATAAACAAATGACAAGCTAAACCAGCATTTCACAGTAACGTAATTTTGTTCATCTTATTACCACTGAATCAGCAGCGTTTTACATATTTTCTCTGCCATATTCATAAACCAAATGGGATAATAAATAAAAAGAAATATTTTTTCTTCTGTTTTTGACAATGCTCAAAGGAAACAAAGAAATCATATTTTCATGGAAACATATTAACTTTCTGTGCAATGAATTCTCAGACCCTCAAAAGTACTTTTCTTCATTTTTATATCCATGACAACATGTAATAAAGCACCATTAAAATATACTATTGATTTTTGAAGGTTATACACACACAATAGCCTGCTACATTAATATGTGCATCAGTGCTAAATTTTACAGCTCTTCTGTGAGTACACTGATGCAGTGATAAATAGTTTATTAGATGCCTTATTTGCAGAATGAAAACAAGTCACTGCGCTTAATATTTAAAGGAACAGCAACATATTAACACACTGAATCTCTAGAAAAGGTCAAAACGGTACCAAGAAAAGATTTTCTACAATCCAAATCTAACTTCAATATTGCCATAAATACACACAAACTATGGGAAGAAGGTCAGGGTTTTTTTTCCTGCATTTTAAAGTCTCCAGAAGAATGAAGCTTCTAGCAATCTCCAAACGCTCATACAAACAGCTTACCAGATGTATTTATTAAAGGAATGGGAATAAAGCCTTTTAAGTAGACATTGACAGCTACAGGCAATGTTTTAGAATCCTAACCTAGGCATAGTCTACACTATGCTTCAGAACATGACCACCACTGGAATTCTGTATAAGCAGTAAATGAAAACACTGTGAAACACTTAACGTCACCTAAAAGAGGAAAAAAAAAAAACTTTGTTGCAATCAAGGTATCAACAAAACCTACAAAAATACATGCAGCACTGTAGATAAAACAGACAAAAAAAAGGAAACTTTTCACACGTACAGTGTTGAAAGCACTTACATTTTTTATCGCTTCATAGACAGCCCTAAAAGTTGGCTGTTTTTCATCATGGTAAACACCTCTGTTTCCATGAAGAATAAATATACCCTCTTCTTCGGCTTCCTTACAATTGCTTCCATAGATGCAGTGGTCAGGGCGATAATTCCATTGGCAAGGAAAGACATAAAGACTTTCTGTGCAGAAAAACGAGAACTCTGGATTAAATATCAGAATAATTTCAGGAAATACACTAATCTTCCCCTTTTTTTTCCTTAGAGCTCCTTCATAAATTTCTGTAGTTATTTTGAAACCGAACAGTTAATTACACTCTAGCAAGCTCCAGTGCTAAATAAACACTTGAAGAAAACATAAAGCAGCAACAAGTCCTTTTAATACTTTCACAAGAACTCTTTCACAAAGCACTTTCCATGATTTTTTAACATCAGAGAAAAGATCAACTTTGTCATGTTTGACTTTGAATAAATGTGGATTTACCTGGATTGTGGAAAAACATAATGTTCAATAGGTCCTGATCACCCCAGGTTATGTTCAACTTGTATTTCTTCAGCAGTGGCATAAGAATTTCTCCCCACTGTAATCGGACTGGTGTCATATCATTCTATTAAACAAAAAGCAAAATGACACACATTCAGGACAATTACTCCTATTAAGATGGAAATGCCCTACAGAATCACAGTAATATGCTTTTCAAAATTACAAATCTCAAATGCATAGATGATTTCTTCCTTTTAAACAAATTTGCACATCTAAGGAAAACAGTTACAGGCATTTCCAATACGCTTTCCCTCTCAATTATTATAAGGAAAATTATATGCATCTCCTACTTCTTATTTAACTGACACATTAGTTTTTTGTATCCAAGATTTCCCTCTAACATCTTAAGCCAGGAGTGCTAAGAAATAGCAAGGGCTTTTTATACAGCAGCAGGCTCTAACACAAAAACTGTATGTAAGTAATGCACCTAAGTAGACAAGCACATTTCATGCAATTTATCACAGAGTGCTAATATACACAGGTTTTAAAGTTAACTTCGAAAAATCAAAACAGATCAATATAAAATTAATTATTCAATAGTTTCAAATACATACAGCTGAAAAATACTGGCTACAAAGCCGTGTGCAAAAACTAACAGAAATCTTTCAAAGGTTTTCAAGAGAATTTTCATTAAGTTGAACTGATTTTTTTAGTTACTGACCTTGAACTTCAGCAGCAAATGCATAACTTCTCATTAGCGAAAGGCAGTAAGACCCTAAATCAACCACTGTTACTTAATTCACAAATTCTTGATTCAGTAAAATCACTTCAAAGGGAAAGGAGAGTTCTTTGAGGTTCCGGCTGAGGAGGTGGTATGTGGAAGAAGTGGGCCTACACTGAACTCTGCCTTACCAAAGGTGTTACCCTCTTCAGTGTAACAAGGTTACACGTTCTAAAGCTTATTTCTCATCTTTACACATGTAAGCTCAATTAGAAGAGAAAATGAACAAGGCTGCTCACACTGTACCTCCTACATCAGTTGGGAGAGTGAGGATGAAGTAACATGAAGTCCCAAAGACAGAATATTCCTGAACAATTACAGGAGCGTACCTTTGATGCTTTCCAACCAAGATGAAATAAATATATATATATATAAAAAAAAAAATTAAAATTGGAACCCCAGTATGGTTTAGGATCTGTACACAGAAACACCATGCTAAGAAACAGAAAAGATCACCAGGCACAAAATACTCAGTTTAGAGCTATAGAATCTTAAGAGTTTTTTAGAATTCTCAGAGCTTTCCACTGACTAACTTGAAAGTGAAAAAATTGGCAGTCTGGTTTTGAGTCTTTCCTCAAATCATTTCAGCCATCAAATATAAAGGGCTTTCAGAATTGAAAACTCAAAAAAAAAAAGGAAACACTCTCAGATTTTAGACAGGAATTAGTACAAAAACGATCTAGAGCTTATTTTATGTAAGAAGCTAAACATAATATTACAGTCCCTTCTGTCCTAAAAAATTTATGACTGTGATTGCTTACAAGTATTAGATGAGAGCAGACATAAGGAATGTACAAAAGAATTCTCTAGCAAGAATTATCGTTAGGCTCAGTGCAATGTGACTAAACAAAAGAAAAACACAGCTTAACACCAAGCTGAAACCTTACAAAAAGCAAATCAATCCCACTGAATCACAGTGGGTAAAGATTACTCTCTCACCTGCACCTTGCCATCCACAGAATTTTACCCTGAGGCTTAGATTCAACTCTAAGAATTAAAAATAGAACTAAAAATTAGCTCACTGATACTAGGATAATCATAGGAGAATATACAGTGGTAAATAAACATTTTAGAGCAACCCATAAAAATATGACTTCAGATTTTTAAAGTGATTATTTCATATAATTTTCATTTAACTTGTACTGTTTTAATAGCAGTGAAAACCAGAGTATACATACCCCAAGGAGATGCAAAGCAGTTATAGCATTGCCAGATGTCTAGAAGCAATACTCCTTGAAAAATAGCGCTATCAGATTTAAGAATTGGAAACTGTGATATTTCAATAAACTCTGAATAAACAGAAAAGTTACGTATTAATTTATTAACACTGATGTGTAATGAAACCAGTGAAGGAATCACATAGCAAGACAAACAGTTTGAATAGTTATACAACCTCCTTCTTCAAAATTCTATTGCAATTTGTAGCAAAGTCAAACAGTGTGTAAGGCAGACTACTCAAGTTCAACCAAAATTGATGACAGAATTGCTTTTCAAAAGTTACTTAAGTAAATATGAGAAAAATAACTCTATGACAGCTTAAGGATTTACAGAATATAAACCTCCTTTCCAACATTCAACAAGGTGCAAAGAAGTTTGAGAAAAAGAGACCTACAGTGGTAGTGGGCATTTCTGTGATGCCAGTAAGCTGGTACAGACAGGCTCTTATTGAACCCTCAAAACTCTATTTTTTGAACAGAAGAAAATGTGTAACAGCAAAACATAGATAAGGACATTTAAGATATTTTCCTACCTGAGTTTTTCTGAGCAGGATTAGTTACTGTGCTGTAATTAGTTTGGCCATTTTGACTGTCCCAAGAAGACTTTTGCCTGGCCAAGTCTAAAGTCAGACTTAAAAATCTATTACATATAGATTGTAGCAACCTAGTATTACCTTTCTCTTGGTAATAGCCACTGGATTTATATGGATAAGAAGACTCTTCTTCTTGCATTAACAGTGTAGTGCTAATACTGACTAGATGTTTTTTGTGAGATAGTTTACTTCACTAACCCAGCAGAAAGATTTCTTTTTCCTATTATTACCAAATTTAATTGAATCATAGAAGGGACCAACAAACACCAGAGGCTAGGACAAAGTAAATAAGAAAAGCAGAAAAAGCAGATGGTAAGAGATAGGAGCCTTCCTTTTAGAAGGAGTTAGCTCTTGCACAGGCTCACCGTATTTCCTGGATCTATAGTCTTAAGCAATACTGAATGGTTTAAAAAAAAAAAAAAAAAACAAAAAAGAAGTGTATAATGGCTTAGGTCACAAAAACTCTCTGAACTTTACATTTTGGGTGCTTTTTTGTCTGAAGTATACCCATGAATCTCTCCTTTTCATACACTATCTGGAGTTATTTTGTGTGCAGCTTGTTTGATTTTCTAAGAGCTCTTTCCTTATTATGACTGCTCACATCTTAGGCACCACAACTAAGTTTCTTAATACATTTGCTCAAAGTCATTGTTCTCTTAAAACATCATATCTCTGATATTTGCTATATCTGTTCCAGTCTACATGTATACCTTATCACCTTTTCCATCTCCTAAATACTCCTGCATGCTTTACATTCCCATTTTAACTGCTGCTTAGCAAAGACAACAGACAGGCACTAAACGTCAGAAACTCATTACTGATTTTAGTCTTATGTCCAGTTTGCACTTTTTAATGACATTACATTAAAAAACGTGTGTGCATGTGTATGTATCTGTACCTACATATACACATGTGCTTATATTATATACAAAGTGCATATATTCATAATGTATATATACAGACAGTCTCAAAATACACAAGACAAATAAGACAGATAGAACCAGGAGTGACAACTTCCATTAGGCACCACAGATAGCAAAGTAGCTAGGATGCTCGTCTAAAATGAATAGACCTGACAGCCCGGAGAAGATTGAGGCTTGAATAAATAAGCGGATAAAAGAAGACTTAATCCTGAAACAATACATGGAACCACAGGTTTTCTGCAACTCACGTGAGCACTATAAATACTGGTTAAAGTCTCCAGTTCTTTTTATTTATTCATCTTCTGGTTCCTCCTGACTTTTACAAATCAATGTGACAACAAAAGAAAGATGCTTAAAGGCACCAAACAGCTCCAGCCTGTTGTTTCTTCAGCCCAAAATTACAATAGACAAAGAACCTACAGTTTTAAATACATCACATTGAAGGAATATCCTGATTCAAAGCTTCCACTATTTAGACAAGTGCTCTAGCCACCCAACAATCATACAAAAAGGTCTATAGGCAGCTTTTTAAAGATACAAAATTTCCTAGAACTTACATACTCTGAGGAATTTGTTGAGTCTCTTGAATGAATATATACAAATTTGACCTTCCTGTAAGTAAATGAAGCATTTTCTAGTTCTACTGTATTTGACTGGAATAGTTAATGGGACACAACATGGGAAGCTTGTGCATCTTAGGGCCTTGTGATGCTCTACAAGCTTGTGGGACCACACTCTAGGTACTAGGGGAGCAAAAAATTAAATGATTCCCCTGCTGAGTGCTCTCCAAGCCAACTTCTCAATAATCAATATTATATAACAGAAACTCATTTCCTGCTTAGTTATTACCTGGGCTACACTATCTAGATATGAGAGAACGATAAATCAGGCACTATCATTCCTAAGTTGTACATAACCTAGTAGCTCCCTAATTAGACACCCTCAAACTGTTCTGACTGGGCTAAGCATGCTACTACAAGCCTGATATTACAGGACACTTCCCCAGTGTGTCCAACAGGTGGAAGGACTAAGTCAACAGCATGAACACAGTTCATGAGGTAGTCTCCCATATAAAATAATTCTGAGCCTTCTAGTACCAAAAAGTGTCCACTGATAATATGTTGGTCACTGTCAATAAGGCCTAACAAGAGTCTAAGCAAGGCCGTCACACTGGAGTAAGTATCTCCACAAATTCAGAGCCTGAACAAACAACAAACACAATACTTGCCAGAAACATACAAAACAGAGGCAAAACACCTGGATGCTTAGCTCGATGCTCAGCATTTGTATGCAAGGGCCTGAAAGATACAGGGGTAAGGTTTTAAATCTAGAAGGGTATCCATTTCAAAACGGCTCAGCTGAACCAGGAAATCCATATATGTCAAACACCATGCATCTGAACATTACATCTGTGTTTCATGCTTAACATAATCAGACTAAGACTCCAGGGAAGATGTACAGGATCATGAAAGCAGGGGTAAAAAAGGTATAGGATTAGAAGGAGGAAGATAAAATTAATGCATGAAATAAGTTCTTAGCAACCATGTTAAAAGCTGTACACAATCAAAAATTTAAAATGTAGCATAAAACCACTCAAGTATACAGAACAAACCATCTTCTTATTTAGGTCTGAAGTGACAGCAAAGCCCTGGGAAGGATTCCAAAGAATGATGAATAACAATTAAGGGCAGAAAATCCTGTATTTCTAACACTTAAAACAACCAAAGTGAAGCAGAGGAATGGCTTAATTGCCATATATATATATATATATATATAAAATCTTTTGTTAACTAAAGCCATCAGAAAGGGCTTTGAATCATGTGCCTTGCTATTGGGAAGCTTTACTCTGTTTCTGCTTGCACAGTGCTGGGTTGCTCACTCCAATCTCAGCTCCTTACCCTTAATTGTGTGAATGCTAAGCCTGCAACTCATCAAGCAGGCTTGCTTAGCACACTACATTCTGAACAATTTGAGAAAGAGCATCAAGATTAATGTTTTCAGGACAATTCAAGACTTCTTTTTGTTCTGATTCCTCACTACAGGAAGTCCAGTGGCCCATTTAGTCAGAAACTGTACATCATGTTATGCTGAAGTTTGTCAGTAGAATCCTGAGAAAAGCATAGGGATTTGTGCCTTGCCTTACCGTTGAGGAAAATGCTCCAGCCCTCTAATATCAAGTAAAAAAAAAATCCATTTTGAATTTCTAAATATTCATTAATTATTTCACCTACTTAAATCTATATATATCAGCCTAAATTCTAAGAAACCACCATTTACAGGTGATAAGGAGAAATGACTTTATATTTTCCTCTAGAAAACTGCAGTTAATTTGGAAGACAATTTTAGTCTCCTACATTATCTATATACTGTCAAAAATTTTAACTCCAATTTTGGTAAAATTGCATAAAGTTTCCAATAACTTGATAATTTCAGTTACACTGAGAAGCCCAAGCAGAATTCTGACACAGTTTTTATAAAACACCTACCTTCTCTCAGAGTTTACTACACTAAAAAAATTATCACACAGAAATGCATTGTCAGAGGTTAAGACAACACAGTTTTCAGTCCCACATTTTTCTCATCATGTTTTTCAATATTTTTATTTCTCCGAATACTATAAGCAGGGAAACAAATAAAAAAGTAGACAAGATTCCACTGATATACACAGAGAAACTTTCTTCTTGGGAAACTACAGCTACATAGTGTAACTACCAGAACTTCCTACTTTAACTACAACTGAGATAATCCATTCTCCATTTACCTTAAATTCTCTATATTTCCATAACAAAAATATATAGCAACAACATTAAGATAAAAGCTAAATGTTTCTTGAGCTGGAAATCAGGGAGAAGCAATGTCTACCGCAAGTTTATCAACCCTGGCAGCGTTCAAGGCCAGGCTGCACAGGGCCTTGGGCAACATGGTCTAGTGGAAGGCATCCTCGCCTGTGGCAGGGGGGTTGAAACTAGATGATCTTAAAGGGTCCTTTCCAACCCTAACCATTCTATGATTCTAAGTTTATATTGCCCCTCTTAAGGGTGTACCTTCCTATAGCTTTAGACTGCATCATTACTTTTCCCTAATCAAACTTCTTCAACAGAAAAGTACTTTTTTTACCCCAGCATAATCACACAGCACTGCTTTGTTACTTGTGTTTCAAGTACCAAAGAAAAAGCTTCCGATCTGTAAAAGAATGACCATCTCTGCTGCTGCGTGAACTGTTTTAGTATGTTCATGATGAACTTACCTACAAAAATTGTGACTTCAAATAAAATCAGAAGATTCTTAAGGTGATAATCTCCTAGGTTACAATGTAAAAGATGAAAATTTGGAAACCGCAGTTAAAATGGCTTACTAAATGTTCTAGCACCACCTCCTGGTCACACTTTTACACTCAATTTCAAAAGTCGTTTACAGTATATGTTAACTGTTTTCTGGGATCTCTACAGTGAAGGAAAAATACCAGAGTATCTACTGACAAATGCAATTTACAGCAGACTATCTAAAAGTCATAGGATCTCTCAGAACTAAGAAAAATTAAAATAATCAAACACACTTGAAATACAGGAATTCCAAGGCTTACAGTGAATGACATTTAAAAAACACAAGTTAGATACCAGTTTAAACACAGTGTATTTTTAAAACATTATTCCAGTTACAAGAAAAATAGTTTGAAAAATGCTGTCTCACATGAATTTGAAACAGAATCAGAATTAAAAGATGCAAAACCATAGAAAATGCAATAAAGGCAATACGCATACCTTGAAATACTTCCTTCTGATCCGCGTCATATTCATTAACATGACTCCAGAATTTATTCCAGTTACTCCATAGTAGGGATGTCTAGCAAAGCGATTATACCACCCAATGCGAGGCTCTTCATGTTCCGGTGCCATTGCAGCAATTTGTGTGGAGTTGAACTTTCCCAGAAAAGACCAAATATCATCAACAGGTCTCAAAAACAGGATGTCAGTATCAACATACAGTAGTGAATCCACATGCTTGAGGATTAACTGTGAGGGAAAGAAATTGAAAACCAAACTTAAGTTTTATTGAGTTTATCTTCATAAAGCAGAAGTTGCTGCCATTACACAATGAAGCTTGATACATTTGTCATATGCAAATAAACTCACTTTAGACTGACGGTTTGCAGTTAGTAAGTCTGTCATCATTCCCTCTTTTATCATTTTGGAATATTTTTGTAGACTGAAACCAAGGTTTCATATAGAATAGTAAAGCAAAAGCACTCAGTCTGTATTTTGTATCCTGGGGCTTCACAGAAGTGACAGGCCAGGTGAAAAATTACCATAGCAGCATCTCCTACCTTCCTCCTGTTCACTCGCTTTCTAATAAACAAAGGAGAGGCTTAAGGAAGCCCCAGATGAGACAATATGTGGGAGACAGTTGACATTGTTATAGTTCAGCCAGCCTTAGGTTTCTGAAGTATCCTAGATGAGCAAAGAAAAGGCTGCACAAAACACCATCAACAATAGCCCATTTCTTGTTTCATTCTAACACTTTTCAGACCCAGGCATGCAGGCGATTAGGTGGGATAAATCCTCACCTCTGAGAGGATGACATGACCTGCACCTCTCACTGAGGATACTGTGCCATAATGTAGTAAATGAGAAAAGGACTTTCATTCTATAATGTATTAGTGCCACGGAAGAAGGGTTAAATTCAGAGGGTTTTTTCAGGATGTTATAGAAGTAACTTTTATAAGGAGTAGTAGTCCTTAATTTAAAAGTAAGCAGAAACCAGGTTAACAAGACAGATGCCTCATAAAGAGACTTCTGTATTGTCCTATTACAGAATAACTTACTGGCAAGAACAGCCTCTGTGAAGCACACGGCTTAAATAATTTCTTCCATTCTGTTGCACTCTCAGTTGGAAATGTTATTGGATATAATGTGTAATTAACTTTTCCTTCATAGGGGAAGTCATCAAGCTACGTGAAAAGAAAAGAATATAAAAATTACTTCAGTTCAATTACATTACAAAAAAGAAATCAATCCCCCGTTCAAACTGATAATTGAACACAACTGCAAGACCTCTCTTCAATAACAGAAATGCTTCCTGAACTACAAGAATCTGTCAACTATTCAAAATACCTGAACAGGAAGTGGCACCTGCAGGCCACTATGAAGAAACCACAGATCATATACAGAAGTAAGAGCAAGCAAAATAAATTAATGCTTACAAAAAGTAGATACATCAAAATAAAGCTTTTTGCCCTCTTACCTAGTTTTTATTGGAGAAATATCAATGAAGTCTCTCAATGTAAAATAACCTTACCCAACTTTCACCAGTTACTGTTCGCATGACATTAGTGTGAATATATTTGTATTATATGTTAATGTAACAGTATGACATTTTAAGCACAAAAATAGTAAACTCCTCCACAGCAATACATCAGTCAGCTTGTAATACTGCTTCTCCAGTCATAATGTTATACCCATTAAATGGAATTTACTAAAATTAGACATAACCGTATCTACCACTTTCAAAGACCGATGTTTCACTTTGTTTAGGCAATGTAAGGCTGACTCATACAGTAAGCACAGGGACAAAAAAAAAGGCAGATCACCATTTTCTCTTGTAAAGCCAACTTTAAAGAAGCTCACACAAGATAATTGGTTTGTGTTTAGAACACTGGGTTTGTATTCAATGGATACAAGTATTTAACAGATTCAAGGTAACAAATGAGGAACTTTTTATCTGTCTCTACAAGAAGTTTTGATATCACCAACTGGCATTTTTATGCAGGAAACAAAGATTCAAAAATCCCCATCCGACATTACAAAAGACTTGCATATTACCTCATTTATAGACCTGTGCATTTCTGTCACTATATCCAATAACTACTGCCCAAGAAGCAGAGAAATTGTTATATACTACTCAAATTGTACTACAAATTGATTAAATAAATTATTTGGGTACTTACTATGTCTTTGAATCTCTCATGCAACTGGTCCTCAGCAAAAATATGAAACTGGAGAGGCTTGATGCTGAAAATAATGGCTGATCTCAACATAGTAACAGTCTCTTCCAGCCTTTCACCACAGGCAACCACTGCTAGATGCATTTTCTCAGAAGGATGTGTCTTCATATAATCATATCTGATACAAAGATATTTTTTCATTTGGCATGATTTCTAGCACAGACTTAAGGAAAAGCTCTACCGTTTACTGCAGCATGTAATTTAACAAAATACCCTTTATCATATTTAAACCAGCAAAGGAGAATTCAAACAGGACATACAAACCACAGCATTACACCTCATATATGGGCTTACATTTAAACTGAACTATTCTCATATTCACTTCCATCATGCCAGCCTATGAGAGAAAAACAAGGTATGGAAGAGCTGTACAGAAACTAAACAAACATTTATTTTCTTAGTAATTTTGCCGTCCAACATTAGCAAGGAATTCCATCTAAACAGTTAAACAGTTAAAAGAAAGATCACATGAAGTTACATCAAAATGTGAAAGACATTCAGTCTATGAATGAGCTCATGTTCTCCTCTTTCCCTGGACTCAATACAGAGATAAGTAAACACAATAGATATAGCAGAATTAAACTCAACAACAAAAGTGAAAAAAGCCTTTTAAGGAGTTCTGTTAAGAACATTTTTGAATGATATAGGTACTTTGTTTTCTGCCCTTTTGTCAAACCCATGCTTCAGCGCTTCTCCTAAGCACTGGCAAAACGTAAAAAGCTTTCTCCTCTCCTTCCATCCTGCAGGAGTACAACCTGGATTAGAAAGCTGGGAAACTAACAGCTCAAATGGCCTCGTGGGATGTCCTGGTGCTCCCAGTGGTTCTTGGAAATATCCTTAGGTACCCTGACCACACGCATTGCCCATGTCCCTGAGGCTAAATCACTGCCAGGTGTGGGGATTGGGAACTTCTCTATTCCTGAAGACAGCTGCTGTCCAACAGTTACAGGAAGAAGTGCCTGGTATGTAGCATACAGGATACATTCAAAAGTTATTATTTTAATACAACAGGCAAAAATTATTATTGGGTAAATACCATCAGCCTGGTGGCAAACGCAGTGGACATACTAAACCTAAACCCATGTACTCTGGATTTCATATATTTAATTGGCCAGAAAAACATTCAAAGGTTTTAAACATATGTCAGCTCAAAGCCAATCCTCAAAACAATGTCCTGTGCTCGAGCTAATTGCACTGACTATGGGAGGACGGGGTCTAAGAGAACTCAAGAGTATCTAAAGGTTTAAATTACAAGATTAAATCCAAGGTATTCAGACAAAAAAAAGAAAAAATAAAATGAAGTTAGAAAATACTTCACCAACCTACTAACAGTAGAGACATTCTTGGCAAACATAGTAACTATTCTTAGAAGCTTGCCAAAGAGAGAGACACTTCAAATAGAAATTAACAGATGTGATTCTTAGCAAGCAATCTCCGCCCAATTTTTATGTAACTAAAACATTTAGATGCGTACAATTCTTCCTTTAAGTTGATAAAAAGAGGTTATGCAAATATGCCTTTTTTTCTTTAAGGCATGGAATAGCAACACACATTTAGTTCCATGAGGCAAAATATAAGCAAAGTTATCACTGTAAAACTGCTGAAGTTTAATGCCATAAACAATAGCTGAATTTAAAAAATATTGAGTTTTGGAAGAGTTTAATGCCCTGGAACTAAAAAACTCCAGCATCCCAGGGATTTAAGATTAATAAAGCTTTAATCAGAATGTGCAGTCTGTCTTAAGTCAAGGTTTGGGGCTTTATTAAAAATCACATGGGTGAAAGACCTCACAGGTAAGGTTCAGATCCAAAACAGGACACCTAAATGAAAATGCTGACATACAAGACTGTATCCAAAGTCTCAATAAAGCCAATGGAGATCTAGTCAGCAGGATACAGAGCACAAAAAGCAATTAATCTTATTTCAAAAATAAATACCCAGGGCTTGATTCTGTACCATCATTTAATAAGCTCTAGAACGTCTCACCTGACCTCTGGGTGCCAGTCCAAAAGGACTGGGTGTCTCAAAGTTCATGTATCTACTAGTCCCAAGGAGATGTGTAGGATAGACAAGTGCTTCTCAATTAACACCAGCCATTTATTTCTCAGCAACTTAATAGCTAGTCACCTGGATCACTCTCTGTGCTCTTTCAATTTCAGTGAATGCTTAAGACCTGCTTGACACAGACACCTATACACAGACTTCTGTATTCAGATGATTTAATCCACAGACTGAAACCTTCCCTAAGTCTTGCAGAAAAAAAAAAAAAAAAAAGGAAAGGAAGAATTAGTTCAGGTTAACAGAAAAAAAAAAGTAAAATAGAATCTTGAAATGTAACTAGGTATGCCCATTCAGACCTTTATTCATAAAGCTAATTTAAACATCGCACCATGTAGTAAGTAGCTAAGGTAAAAAACACAAAGCAAGCTGACTGTGATGAGGGTAGACGAAACCCAGTAAGCAGTACACTGCTGCAGTCTGAACAAGCTGCAAACAGCAGATTAGCCTCATCACTAATCCACTGAAAAAGGAATTACAATAACTAAGCCCTGCAGTCACGAGAGCTTACAGGGATAGTGCAAGGTCATGTGATAAATAAGGACACAACCTACACAAACTGCACAGCTGAAAGCCAAGTTCCTGAACCACATGTAACACATGGCTTTCCATGAATAAAGTATGGTGAAAAGTATGCCAAAGCAGCTCTACAACACACTGAGATTGAAAGACTATTATTTATTTCTACAGAGTGACATCTGTGAGTGAAAGAACACTTCAAGCTACACAACAAAAAATAGACTGATCATATTATAATGCTTTTACAGTCATTTTGTTCACACAATCTGTTCTATGGGTTTCTGACTTCATTACTTCAATTTTTTAAATCTGTGCTTAAAAATACGTTTTTTTGAAAAGGCAAAAAAAGTATTTACAAAAAGCTAGTAACAATGGAACTTCAGCTTGCACAACATGGGGAACAGCTGGACTCAAATCCGTAAGTACACAACACAAAGCTTTATCCCTGAAGCAGATGGAGCCATTGGAAAGAACAAGCTATCATTCCCTCTGGGGACTATTCACTAAGAAGGGCATAAGAGGTCCCAGAGACATATTATGGCAGGAGAAGTTATGAAGTTCCAGAATGGGTTCAAACTTAAACCGGGGAAGCTCAGGTTAGATCGAAGAAGTTCTTTACCATGAGGGTAGTGAGGCACTGGAATGGGTTGCCCAAGGAAGCTGTGAATGCCCCATCCCTGGTGGTGTTCAAGGCCAAGTTGGACAGAGCCTTAGGCAACATGGTCTAGTGTGAGGCATCCCTGCCCATGGCAGGGGGGTTGGAACTAGATGTTCTTAAGGTCCTTTCCAACTCAAACCATTCTATGATTCTATGAATTGTAGTCCTTACACAAGACTCCATGAAGAGACAACCATTAGTGATTATAAACTGCATTTGACTTCCCTGCATACATACCACTGGCAATCACAGCCTCCTTCTTAACAATTAGATTTCAGAGCTGCTCCTCACCCTATATATACATCTCTCTCCACTCTCAGAGGGAAATCATTGGCCCATCTTCATCCAGGGACACTAACTACTCACCTCTTCTGATAATCCTCAACATCTTTTATCACTTTTTCCTCTTCCTGCTACTAGAAGCAGCATAAAGTTTAAGTTGTCCAGCAGAGTTTACCATCTTGAGCTCTGCAGTCTCACCTTCAATATTAAATATGCCACATCCACTTGTCCCACTCCCTTCCTCCATATTATGTCTACATGACTTTGGTCCTTCCCCTAATTGCTTTCAGATTTATCCTCTCGTAGCTATATCCTTCTCTCCTTCTCCTTCCTGAATTTTCCAGCCTCTCTCTTTTTCTGATCTTCCCTCCACCGCTCTCTGTTGTAGTTAGTCATGCAACTACCTCAACAGAAGTCTCAACAGAAGACAATGAAAGGAAAACCTTGTTCATTTACACAGCCCTGGATCTGGTATAACTAAGATTTTTTACACAAGATTTTTCATCAACACATTTCTTATCTTTATTTTAGCAGTTCAGTAGCTGAGTTGACCACAAGCAAAATAAAAACTATTTTACCAGAACTGTGGTTTATCTGACCCTGAGCAAGTTTGGTGTCACGAATATCACAGCTCCGGTATGAGAGCAATACCATTACTGAACCTCAAAAATCAAGGTTCTGAAAGCATCAAGACACTTCCCTAAAAATCTTCAGAGGCAACATGGGAAACACAAAAATACAAACGAAGATTGCTTTATGCATATTTCTAAATACTAGTAGCCTGATGTTTTGGTGTGGCAGTACTTAGTGAAGAAGCTGGGAAAAGCAACAACAGAGTGAAACGGAAACTGTGTTTTAGTAAGGCTTTTGAACAGACTAACAAGGAAAACTTGACAGCCCTGGTTTCTAAAGAGAAAAAAAAAAAAAATATCTCCAGTAAAGTGGGAATCCTCGCTGCTGCAGGGGGAAAACAAACCAACCAACCACAAAAAAACCTACACCAAATTCCACTAGTTAAAATGGAAAAGCAAAGAATGCACCTGTAATCCAATAGAAGTTACTGAGCAGGAAGCCATGACAGCATTTGAGCGTTTAGGGACAAATAAGGGAATTCGATTTGTCTGAGGATACTGATTACACCAGTGGCAGGGACAGCAGAAATAAACAAAATAGAACACTTGAGAGAGCACACAACACATACTCCCATGAGTTTAGAAAACACATTTCAGATACTCACTTTGACACTGTGGGAGCAAAAACACTTTAAAACAGGCTGCTCAGCAGCAGCATAAGGCCAGGTACAAGCCTTGGCCTGAAGTACTTTGTGCTGAAGTGCTCACCTTCATCCTGCAATGACTAATTCTGCTGTAGGTTTAATAACCTCTGACAGAGGAACATAGCCAGATATACTCAATGAAGCTGCTACAACAAGACTTTAAAGAACCCGTCTGTCAAAACACCGCCTTATGCACACCATGACACACTGTATATTAAGCTAGCATTTCTAGGTCAATTAAAATTATGAAGTAATAATTTGGTAGTAAGCTTGAGAGGTGTATTTTGACAGGTTGCTCTCTTCTAGAACTTTCACTCCATCCCAG